ATAATTATTTTATTTTTTGTATTACCTCACTTGCTTTAAATATTCACATATAATTACCTTAGACACATCAAATAGATAAGAATATAGTATAGAAACTCTGACAAGCTGTGTTCTAGTTATTAGTTTTATATAATTACCCTATGAAATTTCTGAAACATCTTATAGCTAGAGAAATATGTTTACAAGAACCAAAACCAGTTTACAAGCACTGTCTTTAATCTAGGCTCTCTCATCAGTCAACACAGCGACTGAACACAGCAGGGTCTCTAGCTGCAGGGCTGCTTAGGCTCAATTGTACTGAGTGACTGCAATGGTCCAGATGCATGTAAACCACTCAGTACAATTCCTGTGTAAGCAGTCATGTGGCTAGGGACAATCCATTCAGAGGCACATAGGAAACCTTAGCTTAACATCAAATATAATTCAAAAGGATCATAAATTATTGTCATAATTTACTATGCACCATAGTTAACTTAGGTGAGTAAAGGAAATACTAATAATTATATAAGTAATAATTTTTAAAAATAATTAGAAAGTGCATTCAATAAAAATGAGACATTTTAAGAGCTTAATAAACTGCAGATATAGTATTCTTATTTTAATGCACTTGAATCTCAAATCTTTGCTGTTACAATGGAATAAATTATTACAATATAATTTTTGTTTTGGCCAATAATGGCACTCAAAAAATATGATGCCTGGGATAGACCTCTCCCTCTGCTCCACTCCCAGTTACATAGGTATTACATTTACCTTCCTTGCAATATCCCATAATGCTACTTGTTCCTCAGTAGTAACATAATTAATATAGTTGAATTGTTACTTACTGAATCACATTGTCTCTGTTTCATTTTAGGGAAAATCTGAAAAGAAATGTTTTTAAAATTGAAGTGTAAAAATGTTAGGATTGAGTTTGGAATACAAAAGGAGTAAGTATGGGACACAAACCAGTTCTGAGGCTCTTGAGAGTTTCTGAGTCATCTTTATTGGTTTTTTGTGCTAGCTTTTGCAGCACATATATTAAAACTGTTGACACCTTGATGCAGTCAGCAGTTGCATTTCTATTGTAATGAAAGATGTCAGCACCCTTCTGTGTCAAAAACAAACAAACAAACAAACAAAGGCTTGACCTTGAACCCATGGGACTACTGGGAGGTGATGGAACCTTTAAGAGGTGGGGTTTAGGAGAAAGAAGTTAGAGAATACATCCTTGAAGATTATAGAACCTGGCCCCTTCTCTTCTCTTTTATTCCTTGGGAATGAGGTGAGTTATTCTCCTACACCATTTGCTTCCCACCATGATATGTTGTCTGACCACAGGCCCCCAAACAATGGGGCCAATCATGGACCAGAAGATCCAAAACTGTGAGCCAAAATAAACTTCTAATCAGTATAGATTGGTGGTCTCAGGTATTTGTTATAGTGATGGAAAGCTAACACAGCATTTAAACTGCTAGTCTATGATTTTGAGTTTTCTTTTTCTTACCAATGATCTTTAGCTCATTGCAACCAATGAACACTAGAAAAAATTTCAATTAATTCTGACATGGAACATAAAAAAGAATCACATTTTGGTTTTGTGCATGAGAAATTAAATATCATATTTTAGAAAAACCTAAGTAAATGAAATACTGTCAGGTTAAAACATACATCTGATAAAGAAAATATGTATTCATATCAAAAATCATGCCATATTTCTAATACACATTGAGCAAAGAACAGAGAAAAATCTTAATTTTCTATAAAAGACTGTTTAAGAAGAAATGCCATCACCTTTGAGAAAAGAATTTATTAATCTAAAGAAGATGTTCAAACTGGATGCCACAACTTTTCAGAGAGTTGTCATACAAAATACAATTTCTCTTTCAGATTTACCAAGTGACTCCCATGTATTAATGGTTTGTATGTTACATTTCATTATTTAATTCTTATAACAACTCTAGGCACTATTATCATAATAACCTCACTGTAGGGATGAGAAAATCAAGGTTCAAAGAAGTGAAATCTTTATTCCAAAGTCACACAGCCAGCAAGATGTGTGAAAGTCAAGCCTGGTCCTCTGGTTCCAAATTTTGCATATAAAACACCATCTTGAACTGTCACCACTTTAATTCGGCCCTTTGAAGCTTTGTGTCAGTGAGCTCAGGAGCCTGGCAACAGAGCTAGAGAAGAAGAGGCAAATGACTAGGATAGGAGAAGCTCTGAATTCCTGGGAAGCCTGGGAGCATTGGTCTCAGAAAAGGAAAGAAATCAAGAGGAAGGCTGGGACAAGGAACATAGTCTGCCTGCTGTTGTCTTGTCCTGAGAATCAGGCTCTGATCTTTGAATAGAGAAAGACGTAAAGAAAGACCTGTACAATAGTAAAATAGAGCTAAGAGCCTCTGAAGGCACCTCAATTTCTGGTGAGTTCCTTTATTGGACAAAATGTTTCAGTGACACCATTGATTGGCTCACTCTTTTCCTTTTTTATGAAATGGCTGATGAACACTTAATATGTTAACTATGCATGATATGATGGTGGAATGTAAATCAGTGAACCTCCACAAGTTGGCTTCTAGTCCAGCCACAATACTAAGAAATAAATTTTCTCTCCACCATTAAACAGCAAAAAGCCAACAATATACATTTTGAAAAAAAGTGTTCTATTTTCTTAGTAACTTTTATCATTGCTGAGACAAAACACCCAACACTCAAAGTCAAAGGAGGAAAGCTTTATTTAGCTCACAATTTGTAGAGGTTTCTGTTAAATAGTTGGCTGGCTCCAAAGCGGGTCAGCATGGCAGAGGGACATCACAAAGAGAAAACAGTTCACGGTGGGCAGGACAGGCAGAAGGCAGTAAGCAGCAACCAACAAGCAACAGATGCTTTCTGTTCCTTTATATTTTATCAAGGTTACCAGCCTTTAGGATGGGTAACACTCACATTCAGGGTGGGGAACCTTTAATCGAACCAAGAACTTTGTCAAACCAATCAGTGAACTAATTTCATAATCGCACACCCTTAATGCCAGCATCACCCACTCTAGATCCAGCCACCTCTGCAAAAGCCCCACCTATGACCAGATGAGGCTTTGGGATGACATCTAGACAAAGCATAACAGTACAACCTGGATATCAAACACTGAAGGAAAGTGAAACTTGAGACAGAATATTGCCAATGAATCCCATAACTGTTCCAGCCAGAGGTGTGGAGAGTTTGCAGGCTGCAGTGTAAAGAGAAAGAGCATCAGTATTTTTAAATGAATCAATATGTAAACACACCATAGCAAAGTGTGCAATGTAGATAAAAAAACATTTTTGGGAAACTTTATGGAACTGGGGAGTACAGTAGACAATACAAGATCTACATTTAAAAACTCATGAAAAAAGAGCAGTTCACAATTACCCTGATTTAAAATAGAAGATAAAGACATTATCCGAAAAGCAAGCCACAGACCAATATGAACACATACACAAAATTCTCAATAAAATTTTTATAGATTCAATGTAGCAATATAGAAATGGATAATACCTGATGACCAAGAAGGATAACATATTAATGGATATGTTTGGTTTAATATTTTAAAACCATATAATGTAATTTACACTACAAAAAATCAAATAAAAACTTCACAGGGTCATCCAAATAGACACAGAGAAAAGATCCGAAAAAAATCCAACAACCATTCTTTGATAAAAATACTCATAAGTTTAAAAAGAATCAGAGGGCCAAAAATTCTGACTGGTAATCCTTTTAGTTCACAGTAGAATTCCATCCCTCAAGTGTAGGAGGTGAACAATGCTACAGAAAAAATACAAAGTGAGAATTGGAAAGATGATCTAAGAGTCAGAACATGACACTAAAAATTACACAGGGAGCATAAAATGTGCAGGGTCTCCCCAACCCAGTGACAATCTAGGGATGGCTATTGTTTAAAAAACTTGAGCCATATAAAGACCACATTAAAAGAACCTACACTTATAATTAAGCTAGCAGTTGGATTTGATGAAATGAGTTAAAGAAATATCTCAGTGTTTAAGAGCATTGAACATATATGTCAGTTGTATAGCAATGTGTAAAATCTTAGAAAAACATAAAAAGGGGTAAAATCATTCAGGTATTAGCTGGTGTAAACTGTGATGTTCTTATACACACAGCCCTGGACAGCACACCCAGGTGATGTTTCAGCCACTGTCCCCAGGTTCAGAGAATGAGTCCAGAGAGGCCTGACAGAGGCTCACGGAATCTCTCCTGCTGCTTCCAAAGTTCCTTTTCTCTCTCAGACTCATTTAGGGAAAAATAGGAGTTTTTTGAGGGATGCTTTGAATTCCTTGTTTCTCAAGGTATAGATTAGGGGGTTGAGAGAGGGAGACACGGTGGTATAGAAAATGGAAACAGCTTTATCCAAGAGCCCAGCAGAGCCCAGGGCTGGCCGGACATAGGTGTAGAGTGCAGTGGAGTAATAAAGAGTGACAACCACCAGGTGGGAAGAGCAGGTGGAGAAGGCACGCCCCTTGCCCTCCACCGAGTGGATGCGCAAGATGCTGGTAATGATGAAGCTATAGGAAGTCATGGTCAGCAGGAAGTTCAGGCCAGTCAGAAACATGTCTGCAATGATGGTCATGACATCATTGACAAAGGTTGGGCTGCAGGACAGCAGGAGCACAGATGGGATCTCACAAAAAAAGTGCTTGATAATATTGGGACCACAGAACGACAGTGGGATGACCAGGCAGGTGAGCACCAAGGAGTTGAGAGCCCCCACAGACCACACAAAGGATGCTAGAGTCACACAGACACTACTGTTCATCAAGGTGCCATAGTACAGTGGCCAGCAGATGGCCAGGTAGCGGTCATAGGCCATGGCAGAGAAGAGCAGCAGCTCAGAGCCCAGGACCCAGGAGAAGACGAACATCTGGGAGAGGCAGCCTCCAAAGGAGATGGTGTTGTCAGCCACCAGGCTCTGTAGGACCTTGGGCAGGACAGTTGAGGTGCAGGCCACATCCATCAGGGCCAGGTTGACAAGGAAGAAGTACATGGGGGTGTGGAGGTTGGGGCTAGAGTGGATGGCCATAATGATCAGGCCGTTTCCCATCAGGGCCAGCACAAGCAGGGTAAAGAAGAGGCCAAAGAGGGCTGCCTGGAGCCAGGGGTCATCTGTGAATTTCTGCAGGATGAACATAGTCACGAATGATTGATTCCCAGGCACCATGGGTGGTGGTGGTCAGGCCTAAGAAGGATGTGTGATGTCCCCCTCAAGAAGACAGCAGGTGTATTTTTAAAAATTGATTAATAAATTAATAAAATTGGTAAATTCCATATAATGAGTAACCAATCCTGGGAAGAGAAATAATGACTTTAAAATTTCCAGCTATAATTAAAATGCTCATTAAAGTAAAGGGCAAGCCAGATGCAGATCAGGCAGAGAAACTAGGTCCTGTAAAATAGGCCCACACTGGGAACAGGTCCCTACACAAATGGAGCAACCCATCCACAAGTCACAAGCCTCCACAGAAGCAGAGAGCAGTCAAGTTTGAGTGAACTGACCAGGAACTTTCCCTGTGATGGGGACAGCTGGAGAGAAAGGTGGGATGACAAGGTCAAATCTGCAATGGGGCTGAGCAGTCAACTGGGGAGATAGAACTGTGTCCTCTGCTGACAACTGCCTGTACCAGACCCTTGGAGACATGATCTCCCCATGTGTGTACGTCATGTGGAAGTGTGCAATGTAGTCCATATGGGGACTGACACCCAGAGACTGAAGCTAGTGTCAGAGTATCAACACACAGACATGAATTTGCTCTCTGTGAATACAGATTCTCTTTATCCTGAGCAGGAGCAGCCAGAAATCCATTCACCCACAAGTTCCCATTCATTACTAGGATACCCTGGGTAGAAGAGGACAACCAGGAGCACAGGCCCAGGCTTCTGGCTGCTCAGAGAAAACCCCATCCTGAGGAGGAAAGTTCTGTGCTTAGCGGCTGGCCTAGGACTCCTGGGCTGCCAGAGTTCCCAAGCTGGTGCAGAACCTAGTGCTATAGGACCTCAAATCCGCTCCTCTCATGTTCCCCACCCCACCCCAGACCCTGCAGGGCTGTCACAGGGGAGTCATTCAGGGTATTAGACAGACCCTGTGGCACTATACATTCATAGTCAAGGTCTGACATGTGTCCAGGATGCATGGACCCTGAATGCTGAGAAGTGAGGCCCAAGTAGAGCACAGTGCCCTGGCCACATGTGCTCAGGGCCAGGTCTGATAGAACTATGTGTACACTGGCTAGTTGTTGGGACTCGACCACTTCACTAGGGCAACCGACGTGACATGAATACAGTGCCCCTGTTCTTCCAGGGATGCATATTCTGTACCAGTATGTGGTCCTTGACTCTCAGAGCATAGGTTCCACGTTGCTATGTCACAGGCCTTGGCAGGTCATGCTTTTCTAGCTGTGCTCCCATTTCAAAGCAAACAAAACAAACTACAGTGTGATAAAAGATACTTCCATGTACCAGCTGGCTCTAGACCCCTTTAACAAGAATGGCTTTCCAAATATTCTGATAGCTCTTTACCTTCAGAGCCTGCAGAACCCTCAAGCTAGTCTCCACTTACTCTAAGCACACACAACAAACAGGCCACCAGATTCAAAAACAGCTGGATTATTCACTGGTCAGTGGTGTGAGTGTTTACATAGAGTTCCTGTGTATCCAGACAAGGTGGTCAGATTTAGCAAGCAAAATGTAAATGACCAGTTAAACTTGAATTTCAGATTAGCAATTAGCACATTTTCTGTATGTCCCAAAATCTGCAGGGAAAATTATTCTACAAAACCCCACATGTTATTGACCTGAAATTCAGACTTAGAAAGGTATCCCACCTTTCTCTGACCATCCTGTCTTTGGATTCAGTAGCAATCTAGGACATTCCTGGTCCAAGATTAATATATGTCTGACAGGTGAAGGCCAACCTCAGAATCACTTCCTGTCCAAAGCCTGCTCACCTCCAATGCCTACCCTAAGAATGGCTGACCAGAGGGACCAGCCACACCCCACCACCTGTATCATATTTTGAGGAGTATGACATGACTGGACCGGACAGAATCAGGATCACTGCTCCACTGTGCAATAGGAGAAATCCTCCTAATACACCTTCTCTGTCAGTAGAGAGGGGTAACAGGAATAGGGAGATGTGGTCAGCTACCTTGCTGAGGGCAGGGACTGCAGCAGAGAGCTGGCCAGAAGACCAGCCTATCCTCCCTGTTTCCCTCCCACTAAGGCCTATGAGTGAAACCAGCTCCACTTTTTCCTGAATCACTTCTGAAATGTGACAATCATAAAAACGATTCTGTGCTAACTCTAAGGAAAATAAAATGCCTCAATTTCCAAAGGATTGGGAAAGCCACATGAATATTAAGCCTTACCAGTGCTTCTCTGGGCATTCCAGGCTGGGCTCCCTGCAGCAGTGGTGGAGAGGCACCTGAAAAAGAGAGGGAGAGAGAGAGCAAGAGAGTGAGAGCGAGAGAGAGAAGAGAGAGAGGAGAGAGAGAGAGGAGAGAGAGAGAGAGGAGAGGAGAGGAGAAAGAGAGAGGAGAGAGAGAGAAACAGAGAGAGACAGAGACAGACACAGTCAGTTACTTGCTGCCCCACCATGTCCTGGAACTGCCCTCAGGTCTTCTATCCCTCATTCATGTTTTTCTTGTAATATTTATTGGAACTCATTAAACCTCTTCATTAGACATGAGAAGATTTCACGATAGCACATCTATGTTCCTCTAACACACAAGACCTCAAGACTTTCAGTGGCCCCACAGATTTGGGGAAATGAACCTCTTGATTTAACAACTGAAGAGAGAAAGAGGCTCAGCATAATTTTAAACAGAAATGCACCATATGTTTTTGAAATATTCCAGAAGAGTCCTTAAGCAATGGACTCTGAAATGGGGCATGTGACCCTGCCTAGGGAGAGCATGATCAGCACTGAGACAGGGTCCTGCCAGGCTAATTTTCTCAGTTCCTCACCACACCATGTGAGCTCTGTGAAGGCCAGGGTCCTACTGCTCTGGTTCCAGAAGAGGCTGCAGGCTTCATGTAACCCAGATTTAAATAGATATGGATGTGGCTTTGGGATGAAAGTCAAGGCAGCTGGTGTCCCTTGTGAATCCTACCTCAGGTTCCTCACTGAGATGGCTTTGGAAATTGACTGTTAAGTCCAAGATAGATTATTATTCAGAGTGCCATCTACAGTGTAGGGAGAACTGGCTTTGCCCCATGGGCAGACAGGAGAGAGAACAAATGCCCTGTGTTCCAGTTCTTCATATCCAGGTCTCAGTGGATACACAGGCAAGTTAATGCTCTTTGCCAGACTAGCTCTCTGGCTCAAATTCAACAGAAAATGATTTTAACTGTATCCCCCAGTAGAGAATAGTTCAAAGAGAAAGGCTAGCTGTGTTTGATACTGTGGTGACAAAACTTGGGCAGGAAAGGGAACCATCTAATACTTGAATCATGACTGATAGCAGAGCAGATCTGGGGATCTCCAGGGTCTCCAGATGGGAGCCCAACCCAGCTCCTAGACCACAAGCCACCCTACCTCCTATGAGAACACCTGCAAGGCCCTGGGTGCTTGTTATTAGCCAGGATGTTTCTAAGGCCTCTCTCTAAAATTTATTGCTCATGTTTCCTTAAATGGACTCATTGACCCACAATAGCAGTCTCAAAATTCTTCTCCACAACAAAGATTTCAAGTTATGCAAATACCTTCAGCAACAACAAGCCCCTGAAAGAGAAAACTGAATTAACTGGGAAATCACATCACTGTTGCCAAAGGGAAAAGATCGATTTGTCAGTCTCCACACCACCTTTCCCCACCTCCTTCTTGATTTCAAACTTTACTTTTGGTAAAACATTCTTGGTGGTGATTTCTGTTCTGGGCATTGACAAAAAGGTAGAACTTTGTATCCTTCATTGCATCTTCTTTCCAACAGCTCCTACACCCTGAGTTGCTCCCTCTGTCCCTTTGAGCAAACTCTCTACCTACCCTAGAGTTTTTTGATTCAGCAATAAAATGTGCTTTTACATTCATCTGAAGCAAAGTAAAGGGGTATAGGTAGTAGGAGAAGTGTCCAAGAGGCTCCTGACTTGGGGATCTTAGCTCTGGACCCTGGGTACCTGAGGCTGAGGTACTAAGTGTACTTCCTCCTCTGTGGCTGGGGAGGGGTTATTCAATTGTGATCCCAATACTGTCACCCATAACAACCTTAAGAATGGCTGGCTGTTGTTGACAAGCAAGAGCCCTGCAAAGTTTATTCAGTGTTCCATGGAAGAACCCATTCAGCCCTTGTCCCACATGGGATGGCTCTAGAGGGTGAAGTTCCTTCCTAGTCTTTGGGGCCAAAGGAGGCCTATATCTGACTGAGGAGAAGGAGGCTGATCTTTCTTAATTGGGTCCCTGTACCTAGACTCACTAACTCACCCCTGACATGACCTCAACCATGTTCCTACACATGTCTCTTATGCCTGTAGGAACTGCCTCAGTAGAAGTGACACCTGAGTAGCTTCTCCACGAAAGTCTGGGCTCAGGTGTCCCTCCTCAGCTAAACAGAAGAGAGCTGAGAGACTCCAGGGAAGTATGGCTACTCACTGTGAATACGTCATTCTCTGGGTCTCCATGGATAGTTTTCATGTCACATCACCTTACCTTCCTCAGAAATCATCTACCTGTCTGAGTAACTGCTTATTGTTTTACACTGTAAACAAATATGTTACCATCTTTTATTTAGAGTCTTAGAACAATTATTTTGTGGGGAAAGAAACATGTTAGTCTTTCTTAAATGATCAGATAACAATGTAAACTCTAAGGTATTTCTATGTGGAAAAGTAAAATTTACAAAGCAGAGAATGAATTTAAATATTATTTAACCCTTGGTTTGACACTGTATAGCAGTAGAGGAAGGTCCTGCTTGGTCCAAGCCAAATCTTCTCATAGTAGCCCTTCAATAACTATCACTCATTCCAGATTCCACATGTGACCAACCTTGTCCCTACAGACCACATCAAGAAAGCTATCCAAATATGTAGAAGAGGTATGTTCTCTCCCCATTTAACCTACTATATTTTCCCTCCCACACACCCTCCTGTTCTCCTAGTTCACTATGAAGGTGGCAGCATGTTGACAAAGGAAATGTTCTAAGGATGGCAGAGGAAAGAAAAGTAAATGTT